TTTTAAACTTAATGTCTGTAATTCCAATAGATATTAAATCAAAAAATTTTATTACAATTACTCCTGAGTAAATCGAATTTTTTATTATTCAAATAGACAAAAAAAAAAAGGAAAGATTTGATGTCGCTTTAGTTTGGCAGTTCGACATGTTTCAAAGCTTTTAAGATTCTTCCATACAAGGAAATTGGAAAATAAAATCAAAGAGAAGAGGCTAATCAAGTCTTATACATATGGTTAAATTATGAAAGATGAAGCAAAATTGTATTAAAGAAAATGGAAAAAAAATATGCAATAGGATTGATTAGAATGTTTAAGGAACAAGGAACCTTTCACTTGAAACATCAGAAATAAAAATTATTCTAACTTGGGTTTTCTTGTAATCATCAGACTTAACAAATTCCAGAAATAAGAATCTTTTTGTTCACCATATTTGTTTATTAGAATCATTGTGCATAAAAAAAAAAAATTCCGTTTGCATAATATATAAGATGAGATCACAAGATTCACAACTGACTTCATGCTTTCACGAGCATTTCAATGCACAAGATTTAAGAGCCATTTAAACAAGAGATTAATTCTATCTTTTTTTTTTTTTTTTTGAGGCTAAATGGACTTTGAAACTTAGGTTTTTTAAAAAAACAAAGCTATAATTATATCTTATCATTTAACTATTGCTTTTTTGGTGACATATTTAATACCTAGATATAGGTTACTTCTGCTGATAAAGAGAAGGATTTTTGTTTTTTTTTAAGTTAAAATTCAATGAATTTTTAAAATCATTTGCAAGTATAATTTTGAATTTATCAAATCAATATAAAATTTTCCTTTAAAATCGCTTAAAAGAGATTAGATTGAAGACAAAGGGGTTTATAAATAATTATGATTAATATGAAAAGGAAAAAAAAGATGGGCGCATGTAAAAATATGCTGTCCAAGTCATTCTAAATATAAATATAATCAACTCAATAAGTTGTACAAAAATTTAAATTTGACTCAAAATTTATTATTTAAAAACGACTTTAATTAAAAATTAAGAATTTTAATTTATAAATTTAAATTTAACTAAAAATAAAAATCGAATTACTCAAATTTATTCTATTAAATTTAGTTAATAAAAATAAATTTAATTATTATACTCAATTTCAAATTCAATTATATGTTTGAACTCGAATATAACATCGAATTAATATATATATATATATGTAAAATAATAATTTTTTAATTAAAATAATAAAATATATTAAATTTTAAAAATTCTTTTAAATTTGTAAGCTACTCAAATTAAACATTAAAATGTTACTTAAATGAATATTAAGATACTCAAACTTATTCGTTAAATAAATTAAATTATTCGAATATAAACTCAACAATAACCAAACTAAATTTAAAAATTTATTCAAAATCGAATTTAAATAACTTATAAATATTAATATATCATTTACACCTTTAGTTTAAAAAAATCTCTTCAAACCATTTTGGTCTTTAGTTTTTTTGGAGGCTGACAACAACATTGGCATGGCGCAGTAGACATGGTAATAACTCACAAATATGTGAAAAAATTGGAAAAGAATTTTTCTGCACATTTTTTAAGTGTTTCTCGTGAAGTGTACATAACAAATACCGAAATATAACCTAAGAACAGGTCCCCAATTGATGGGAGCTGTAACAGGGCAATCTCCATGATCTAGTTAGTCCTAAAATTCAACAAGATATTAAAAATCAAGGGAAAAAAAATAGGGAGGAACTAACAAACTGAAACCAACAAAAAAATATTTAAAAAAATGGAAGGGAAAGAACAGTCTGGGCTGATGTGGGAGCCTCACCAAATGAACAGTCCAAGCCATTCTCTTCCTATACCAATGAATCCAATGACATCAACGGGAGCACTTCTAGTCTTGTGTATTTTGCACCTTATTCCAACGTATGCACTAAGCCAAGAACCTTTGCAGGAAAACCCATATGAGTAACCTTTTCCCACCCTTGAAAAAAATTAAACATTGATTGCTATGTTACAAACTGATATGAATGAATTCATGCCCGTGCCAGTAATGCAGGTCCTTCCTGCAAAATATTGCGTTATGATAGTAAATCTAGTCCTCAAAATTGTTGCTCTCTTGGCCAATTTTCATCTCACCTTCTCAAATAGATCTTGAGAAAACTTTCAGGCCACAATAAAACTTATGACACTTGACTTGCTAGTGTCTCTTCCAAGTCTATTTTCCTTCTATTCCTCTAGCTGCTTAGCTATGATTCCAAAATGTGGCAGTTCCTAACAAAATCATTGGAGTAGTTGACATACGTGGTCCAAAATGGCCGAAGATGCTCGAAGCCAATCTGCAGCCACGGTTTTGACTGGCCATTGTAATGAATAACTGCAGCTCTTTTCACATTCTCAATGTTGGTCTTACTCTGATAACCCAAGCCAAGCATATGCCATGATGGGTCAATGGGATGAACATGGCCTTTAAATGCAATCAAAGCAGGTGGTAGAGTTCCAAGCTTCCACATAGTCAGGTTTGACTTCAGGTTCTGCCACAAAGAAACCAACAATCAGAGTAAAAGAGTGAAAGAAACTGTTATTTGCCAACAATTCACTATAAAATACTAAATACTAGTCAATGTATTCTTGTCTAAGTTTACATCCACGGTGAAGTTTTAGTTTCCATCAATGTTGTTCAATCCAACCAAAGGTGAGTCATAAATCTGTATATATTTCTGCCTTGGAAATAATGTAAAACAAACGGAATTTCTTCCATACAAAAAGTGCCCCTACACAAAATATAAAAAGATCGAAGCCCATCCACATATTGATGATCGGTAAATGTAAAAGAAGGATGACAATGATGAAATTCAGTTTCAGACACAAGGAGGGGGGCACCATCATTGGTCTGAACCCTCTTGCAGCTAAGTAGATGATATTTCATTTCCAACATTCAACTTTGATGGTCATTGTCAGTAAAGTCTAAAAGGGAAGGTCAAACTACAGAAACGGTCAGGAAAATTAGCAGCTGCTAAGTTACCTCTTTGAGCCAGGAATGATATGTTTCTCTTATATTTGTCTTTCTCCATGCATGGAGATCAAATATATTCATCCCATAAGCCCATGCACATTCATCAGGGTCCAAATGCTTAGCTATAAGGGGATGGGAAAAATTGAAGTAGTTTCTGAAATGTTTGGACATCACCCACTCATCTTCACCTTTACAAGTTTCTACAGCTCCATTAACCTTTCCCCATAGATCAATCTCCCAAAGAGGAGACAAATCACGCTGAATTACAACATCATCATCTAGAAAGACCACTTTGTCGAGGTTCGGGAAAAGCTGTAGAAAACACACAATCAGCATACGCATTAAAGGAGGAAAGACAATGTGCAACAATGGAAATTGTCCACGTAAGAGAAGAAAATGTTATAGTCACATCTAATTACCTCTGGTAAATATATCCGAAGATGGTTGAGTAAGGATATGTACTTTGGACTTCTAGCCTGCAATTTTGAAGCGAATGTTCGAGGAGTAGTATCAGAGAGATTTGCCCTTGCAATATGATTGCCATGATAGTAATCTCTGATGCCATTATGGTTCTCTACAGCTTCAAGCACGGGAACATTCTCTCTAGTTAACCAATCAAACTGGTGAACACCTTTCACTTCAACTATGGCGGGGAATACAGGGTTTAGTGCAAACCAGGAATGCATACCCGCATAAGTTTTCTTGTCTGTGATGATATGGAAGACAATCTTGTCAGGTTCTAGTGAGGACTGGACAGCAGAAGTAACAACTACCGATGCAGCCAATATGTTGTCCGTTGACAGGACGAAGTGGTGGTAAGAGTTGTTAGAAAGCACAGGAAGGAGCTCAGGAGAAGGGAGTTGTCTGCGTGCATGAGCATTGGAAGAGTATTCATCAGTTAAATGCAGAGAAAGACAGTGGATGCCTTTTGGAATGGAACTTGCAGCGAAGTGTTTGTTCATCAGCTCTGAAAACTTAGATTCCCTAATTTCTCTTTCAAGTTTCTCCATCTATGCAGAAAAGACAGATACTAATTACGAAGTTCACCAAACTTACATAATATGAGAATAATTAGAATCAATACCGAATGTATATACAGATATTTGAATCTCCGAACACTTTCTTACATTTTTCAAGATGCAAATATACCAAAAAACAAAGAAGAAATTTCATTAAAAAAGAGACACGGTTGGAATAGGAGCTACAACAGAAAAACAGGGTAATGTAAGCCAAAGCTAGTATGAAAAAGACATCTTAAAAACACCTTAAGGTCAGGATACCCTACTAGCAAAAATAATAACAGATGCAAGAAGATCAATTAATTTATTCTCTGCACATAAAACTTTGCAGCCTGATGATATATTCCTTTAGAAATATTGGACGTGTCAAAAGTCAAAACCCACCACAACATAAAATATTATAGCTTTCCAAAGGCCATACAAGGCTTTTCTGTCACCGACACTAAAACTTATCCAAACCACAGCAAGATGATAGCATTTGATGACACTAGAATTTAGCTGATCTACAGAAAACAAACAGGTTGAGGCCTAGCAAACAGATCGTGTGCCCATAATGTAATCCAAACTGCACTTAATATATCCATGGAAGGCCAAGAATCAGGTTATTACCTAGAATCAGCTCAGACTTCAAAAAGTTAAGTATCCTACAGAGCTGAAATAGTTACAGCCTAACTTTCAGCATTTTTGTTCAATGCAGCCACTCTCTAGATTCTTTAAGGCTTTGCTTGGTAGGAAGGATGGAAAGAGGTAAGGATAGAAAACTTGTTAATCTAATGGTTATATGACAACTTTCCTACTTTGTCGCTTAACCATTATTTTACATCCTCACCTCTTTCCATCCTTCCAACCAAGCAAAGCCAAAAGTTTCTTCCATATAATTCATTAACACCACAAAAGAAAACCGTATAAGGAAGCTATGGACACACATCAACTTCAATTTTTCGCCTTTTTTTTTTCCTTTTCGGCTGCAACTTATAGGAACTTAGGCATGCTCATGAATCATAAAATTTGAATATTGAACCAAATTAGAAATTCTTATATTTAAAATAACTACATGAATTTTCGGCTTGAATAACAGTCTTGATCTCTCCCAAAATCGTAGGGATTAAAGCTCAGTAAAATCTAATTGAGTTGAATGACATAAAATTCTGAAATTATTTGGCTGAAGAATTGCAGATTTATAATTGAAAAAGAAAAAATGGAGAAGGGGACAGGGGGAAGTGAATGAGGGAGGAAGAGATAACAGATCTAACCAGATCATCTTATGGACATTAACAAATTAACAAGTTAAACTTTCACAATAATAGTTGGATTTCCGTCTTGGTGAATACATCTAAGTTATGTACCAAAGACGAAGTTATCTCCAAGTCCATTAGAACAGAAAAAGTATGCAAATACTAGCTCGCTTTCATATAGAAGATGAAATCTTGTTTGTTAACTCTCTTCACATCCAAAAACTAAAACCTGACACATATGCTTAGGTGTCATATAGAAGCTGATGTGCTTAGTCTTCTTTAGTTCATTTTTCTGTCTGTATTGTCTGTTATCCTGTTTGTTTTTAGGCCAAAGTTGAAGGGGAAGATGGTACAATGTTAAATACCATTAAGTTAGTCGTCCATCCAGATTATGCACACTTCCTCCCATTAATATACAGCCAAAAGTCCATAAAACCACCTAAGTAAAACAAGCACTTAAACCAAGAACTTTTAGGCCTAATATAGTTACAAGAAAATGCTCCAAAACCCATTCAACAATCAAGCCAAGGTGCTTAATTTATTAATTGATGCAAAAGAAATAAATATCAACCTTAGTTCTAACAACCCTCAACCATGTTTAAAAAAATAGCAAATAACAATAAAGTGAATTCAAAGTAACTATAGTTTATGTAACATGACCATACCATTGCTCTTAACATGAATGCAAAGGTCTTTGCATCATACTGGTTGTTTTTCATTTCAGAAACAAGTTGACTAAACGAATCTGGAAGCTTTAGACCATCTGGGATTTCCTCAACATTTACTTGATTGAGGATCTTATAAAAGTCCTTAACTAGTCTCTGCCGCACCACCATCAGCACCACAAAACACCAAATCTAAGTTAAAATCAATAATAAATAGTTGAACGCAAGATAAAAACCAAAAAACATTTCCAGTGTGCAGAGAACAGGATCTTACTCCTGAATCATCAACTCTACCAAGAAGCCTTGGTCCTAGCCGCCTGCCTAAACAATCTGGACAAGGTAGAACAACAAGAAGAATAGTCATGGACCCAATGACAAAATTAAAAAGAGCTAAAAGGCAGAAAGTAGGAAAAAAAAATACCAATCTAGTTAACTCGGAATGCAACAAGAAAAGCAGATTCAGTTCTTAAATGATCGTAATCAAATTTTATCAATATAAACATTGAAATGAAATAACCAGAAGAAGCAAAGAAACAAGACTAAAAAATTGGGGTTAAAAGCAATAAATTTCAAGCATCAAGGATGGTATCATTATATAAGTTTGGCCTAACCAGTTCTAATCAATTCCCATGGTATTTCCATCAGGAAAATAAGTGCTCAAATTTAGACACTAAATTTATAAATAAACTTTTGAAAAACAGAAAGATCTGGTTTCAGTCAACAAATTCCACAGAAATATTTAAAAAAAAAAAACCTAGAATTTCACTAAGGCTAATTTGCATAAATCACTGGAAAAGAATTCATACAGTGATAAACAAAAAGAAAAAAAATAAGAATACAAGAAGAGCATGACTATAAATCCATAAACCAGGAATACAACTTCAGGTGGAATATAGACATCAGAAAATGGAAAAATGTGTACGAACAGAGATTATGGAGCAATAATATGGGTCTTGAACTTTGCACGTTCAGCACTATCTGCATAATATCTAGTTCAATTAATCTGATATCACAAAGCATGTATCGATTAACAAATGAACTACACTAACTTAACAAGATTCAACCAGTAAAATTAAGTCAAAGAAACCCATTGACAGATCTATTTATGTTATACTTGGATCTTATAAGAATGCAAATAACTTTTTCAACTTTCAGCAGCAACACACACAAATTTTCCATCAACATACGCTACAAAATAGAGATTTAGGGACCAACGCAATCATGCCGCATAACAACCCACATATTTTAAACCATCTGTAACCCAGAAAAAGTCAACATATTAACCAAGAAGCTCCATCCATACACCAAATCAAATCGACATGAATCCCAAAAATTTGGAGCATCATCATATCAACCAAATGAAATAAAATCAAGAGCTCCCCCTACCCACAAATTAATAGCATGACCAAATCGCATATCAACAAAGTGTGTGTGTGTGTGTGTACACACACACAAACGCACACACACACACACATTTATAGAATAATAATAATAATAACATTACATGAAGATAGTCAAAGAACCAACATATTATCCAATTAGCTCATCCACATACGATGTCAGATTGACATGAATCCAGAAAATGTGGGCATCATAATGTCAACGACAATCAAACGCGTATCCAAATACTCATGAACAAAGTGAGAATCAAGATAATTAAGATTACAAGAAACGCCTAAAAAATAATGAAACTAACATCAAAGGGCAATAACAAAAGAAAACCCATATCAAATCATCTGTCACCCCATCAAATGCATAACAAAAAGAACCAAAAATCAAATCCAATCAAGATCTATCAGAAAACAATAAATGAAAACAAAATCATAGAAATTAAAAGGAAAGGTACCAAATGAGGAGCACTTGTTGACACCTTCAAGGGTAACAAGAGCGGTAAGAATGAAGACGAAGGGCAACAAGAAAGCAAGGATGAGAATGGTATGGAAAAGGGTCCTATATGAAATATGTCTAGCTGCCACCTTGATCTTCATCAAGTCAATAAACCCATTGTTGCTTGATATTGTTATACTTCTCATGCTAGGCGAGACGTGAAGCTGCATCCTTGTCTATGCAGCTCCAACACACCTGAACAACTCTTCTCCACTCTCTCCAAAAAGACACCGCCTTTCTTAGTATTATCAAAACCAGCTGTTGCTCCTCCACAATATCTCTCTCTGCTCCTCTCCACACCCAATCCTACCCCCACCACCATCAGATCCAACCCTTTTCTCTTCTTTTCCTGATTCAATCTTCGATTTTTTTTATCTGAGTTTCCTTCAAAACTCTCCCGTTTTTTGTTGGTCTTTCTAACAAAGACCTCCACTGCATTGGATTTTTAACACCCACCAAAACTATGGGTTCTTTTTCCTTCTTCTTCTCACCCCCTTTTTAGGATTTTTCGGATCAAAGAATCAAGCTTGGGGGTTTTGGAAGTCTGGGTTTTGATTATTGAAGCTTTAGCTTTGTTATTTTTTGCTCTCCTTGGATCAAGAAAGGAAGAAAAGTGGGAAAAAAAAAAAGAAAAAAGAAAAAGAAACTAGTTTTTTTTTTTTTGTTTATTTTTTGTTAAAAAATGGTTATTTTTCTCTTTCCTTGAAACTCTTTCATTGGTGGATCAACTCATCTAATTTTTTTTAGAAAAAATTTAAATAAATTCAATTTAATTATCTTTTAACAAAATAAAAAAAAAGAATAATTTTAAATAAATAAAAATGATAATTTGATTTGATGAGTCAGTACGGTGTTGAGCTTAGAGAGTGAAAGGTGGGGTGGACTTTAACCTTTGAGAGAGGGAAAAGAGCAAAGGGAAGCAAAGCAATGATCTTATTAGAAACTAAATTTAGATGTCTTCTCCTAAGTTTATGGGCAAGCATTTGCTTTATGTGTGGATGTTATTTTCTTGATATAACACTTTTTAAGTTTTTATTCCTTTATTTCAATTAAAATTTTTTATATTAATATATAAAAATCAAAACTTTTAATAAAAAATGATAATTATTTATGATGAATGATCTATATTATTGACGTATGAATGATTTTAAAATTTTATTATTTGTCTTTTAAAAAATGTAATTTATTATATTTGAATTATTTAAAAAATTAAATTAATTATATTTATTTTTATTATTATTTATTTTAAGTCACTCTCTATTAAATTTATATATAAAATATCATGTTTTTCTAATAAATGTGTATGATTTGATATGATTTTTTTAATTTAGAAAATCAATTTTATTTTTATAAAATTATACCTAAATATAATTAATTCAAACCAAATATTTATGGTTAAAAAATAGAATACATGTAGTTGACTTTCTTTGTATATGAAAAGTATTGTATTGATTATACACATTTGATAAACTTGATTTATTCCCATTTGCTAATTTATGAAAAATATTTGTCATTGGATATTCCTTCGGTATTAGGTTATTTAGGTTTCATTTGGACGAATAATAAGATTAATTGTGGTGAGATTAAAAATAATAAAAAAAATTACAATAACTTTTGATATTAATGTTGATTTTTATTTTCATATTTAAATTTTTTAGTACTGTATGTTAATTTAATAGTTCAATGATTTATTTATAATTATATTATTCAAATTTTAATTTAGTTTTGCAAAGATATTCCTCAGCATTAAAAAATAGTAGAGATCTCAATTGTTTTATTACAAAATTACACGTGTACTTAAATCAAAGGTTGACAATTTTCCACGTCAATATTTCTCTCTTTCTAAAACACAAAGGAATTCAATTCTGCAAGTTCACAATGAAATTCAATACCCCACACAATCAGGTGGCTCCGTGAGCTGTGAGAAATGTTATTATGTTGTATAACAACAATATTTTTATAATGTTTTATATTTTATTAGATGATTGCAGAAGAAAAATTTTTAAATTTTTAATTTAGTGATTAAAAACGTTTGAGAAGATATCAAGAGTTTGGTTTTAAATTAAACTTATTATATTTCTTTTACTTATACTAAGACTTTATCCTTATATTGTAATTAAAAAAATATATATTTTTTTATACATTGAGAAACTCTATTAGAAAAACTTTACTAAAGCATATTGATGTTCAATAATATTAAATCATAAGATTTAATATAATGATTTAAAAAATCATAATTTTTTTAATAAAATCATATATGAAATTAATTATAATTATATAAATTTAAACGTATATATTACCACCATTAATGAAATTAGATTCCAAATGTATTATCATGAATAATTTTATTTGATTTAAATTATTAATTAATTATTTTTTGAAATAAAATATATTTAATTTTTAAATAGTATTATATAAATATAAAAAAATATAATTAACCCATATTTCCTAGCATAATTCGGATTTAAAACTAGTAGTAATTTAATTTAATAGGTTGTTGTGTTTCAATTTAATTTAATATTGTAAATTTGTGGGTTTTTTTTTTTTACCCTCACACTTATAATGTATCCAAATTTGCAAGGAAATAATAAAACATGGAGATGGTGAAGTTTGTCACCTTGGTCCCAAGAATAATTTTTTTTAAATGATTATTTTGGTAGATCATTATGGTAATGTAATTATTAAGATGATTTTATTATTAAAGTGATTTTACTATTTTTGATTTAAAATCATTTTATTTGATTAACAATTATTAATATTTTGTAATTAATATCACTGTATTTATTATTACTAAAAATTAAATATTATTTTGTTTAAAATTTTAAAATAATAATATATATTGTAATAGTTATATAACACAAGTTAATAATTTTAATGTTATTTAAAGAAAATAATTGAAAAATATTAGTAATATTGTATTTAATTTCTAATAAAATATAATTAAACTATTAAATTACTAAATATATCTATTGATAAGTAAATTAATTTTTATAATATAAATTATGTAAAAATATATTTGAATTAGAAAATAAAACTAATCTATTAAATTAATAATAATAAATTATATTATATAAAATATTAAAAACAAATAAATTATTTTGATTTTATTTCAATAAATATTAGTTTTAAAATGTAAAAATTTATAATATAAAATAATTATAATTTTAAAAAATAAATATTTAATTCATATTTTAAATAAATAATATTAATTATTATTAATTTTATATCGTACTCAATTTCAATAACAAAAATTTTTCATTATTTGTATGAAAATATAATAATTCAATCATTATATATAAATTATTATAATTTTTGAAGTGATCATCTTTTATCAGGCATTATCACAATGATATAATTGAATCGAGTCTAATAAACGTAATATTAACCTTGCTTCAAAAAATTGAAGTTAGAATCTTAGATTAAGTTGGATCGAATTTTATTTTTAATACTTGAATTGGTTTATAATTTATTCGAGCTGTTTAAATTGATAAAATTATAAATATAAACATTAAATTTTTAATTATTATATATTAATATTAAAAAAAAAATCTATAACATACGATTAAAAAAATTCTTAAAGATTCTCCAACGGACACTTGTCCTATTATATAAAAATGACTATTTCAACTCTTAGTCAATTGTTATACACCTGTCAAATGGAAAATAATAAACTTCCAAAAGAGAGCAAAACGTCCAATCGGGATTTTTGAAGTTTATTTTTTGCTTTGTTTTATGTGTTTTGGTTCTTTTCTTTGGCCTTTGTTTTTTTTTTTTTTTATGAGTTTTTTGGTAAAGATTTTTTTAATTTTTATGATTTTAATATTTAAAAATTTTTATAAAATATATCGTATTTATAATTTAAAATAAATGATTATAAATCATATATTTAAATAATTTTAATAAATAATTATCGATAGAATTCGAATCTAAAATTTTTTTATCAAAAAAAATAAATTTAATCAATTAAATTAATTATTTATTAATTTTTTTAAAATTATTATTTTATGAACTTATATAATCTCCTAATGAAATAGATGTTTGTATATCAAAGATAATTTCGATAATAGGATTATCTAGTTCTATGTAAAATATATATATATATATCTAATATATTTTTATTACTGAATATCACATTTCATAAAATCAATGATAAAATATGAAAAATAAAAAAGTTAATGTCATTGGACATTTTTAACTTTCGTGAATATGACTCAATTTGATTGCCGACTTAAAAAGGTTGTTCATACTGGCTTTTTTTTTGACAGTGACATCCAACCGACACCTGAATACATGCAATAAGTTTCAGACTTTTACCAATTTTGGTACAAATAATAATTATATGATAACCCTTTTATTTTATTCTTATATGGAAAAAGTTATATTAATATCTAGGGAACAATTCATAACAGTTTTTTTTATTTTCTCTAAATTTTATTTTTTATTTAAAAATTTGAACTCAATATTTTAATTTATGAATATTATATGTACTTATCAACGCTTATTGTTTTAAACAATAAAAAGCTTAATTTTTCTTCAGTTTCAAATTTTATAAATAAAAAAAATAAATTTAAGAGAATTTATTTTCTTATGAAATTCGATTTGATTCGACTCCTGAATTAATCGAAACTCAAATTATTTATTGGATATGAGGGTCCCAGATAAAAAAAAAGTATTATATATACTTAGGATTTATCTATTTATAATATAATCTTCATGGCATTGCTTAAGGCAAAAATATGTCTTAATCATATGACAATTTGGGTATAAATATTATAATGACACTTGAACAGATTGATGTATTCTTTTATTATGAATTGAGTTATTGAAGAATAATGACACATGGTTTGGCTTTGCCATTAAAGGTTTAATGGCAAAAGATGTTCTATTTCTGCACTTTTTAAAGAAATTTATAGATTTCAAATTAAAAAAAAAAAAGACAAATAAGAGGAATAGGAAAACCCTATTGTATGTATATATGAATCTCATTGGATCTTTGATTCTTGGATATTCCCAATGATTTACACTCAATAGCATCTTACAAATCACTTTTTTTTTTAAATTAAAAAAAAAAAAAAAAGTCGGCTAAAATGACTATGGCTAACAATGTTTAGGCAATGTAATTTTATAGAAAATCAACTCTTAATCTTATTCAAAGCCAGCTAACTTGAATAAAACCCAATCCCTATTGTTGAAAACTCTCCTAACATTGTTTTAGGCTGAATTGCACATCGTTTGACAAGAAAACTAACTTTGGGGTTTTTCTAAATGCACTTTTTTCTCTCTACACTATATCTTTTTTTAAAAAAAAATTTTTGTAAGTGAAATTATTTAAATACAATTTTTATAAGTTTTCATATATCTATCATTTTTGAAAAATTATAATGCTTTTGGAAAATACATTTTTAAAGTAAAAATTTTATAAAAATTTATAAAAAGAAAATTTTGTTAAAATTAGTTATAAATTAATGTAATAAAAAAATTATTATAAAAAATCATAAATTTTAAAATTAATAAAAAATTACTTTTACTGTTTTAATTTTAGAGGTATACAAGGAATATTTGCGTCTTTAAGCTAATTAAGCACTTTAAAATCTTAATAAAGATAATCATCCACTTCGTTATCGAAAATGCAGGTGAGATATTCAGACTATTGGTTGGTAAGAGTATAACCAATCGAGTTAAATTAAGAGTTTGCTCAATGTCCTTGAATATAATGACTATATGCTTAGGCTATTTGATGACGTTTTAGTAAGTAACAT